GCATGTCTGCTGCGTATGTGACTTTTAAAAGTCATGTGTGTTACTGAGGTGATACATTTTGGATATCACAGAAGTCTGGATCAATCTATTAAACCAAATCAGTCCATCTTATCATCATCGTTATCAGGAGATCATCCATTTATCTATTTATTTGATGTTTTTGTTAAAACTTACTTACTGCTTAACTGTAATTAATATCAAATCCTTGCAACTTTCTCCTTAATTAGTCGATCGACAGAAAATTAATCGACAACTGTTTTGATAATCGAGTCACTTTCCAATCAAAAATGCCAAATATTACATGGTTCAAGCCTCTCAATGTGGAAAATCTTCTGCTTTTCTTTATCTCTATACTAATAATAGTTTACAAAATATAATTTGGGTTTTTTGATTATCAGTACAAAACAAGCCTTTTGAATATGTCACCTTAGGCATTTGGCATTTTTTACTTTATCTTACATTTTACAAACAAAACAACTAATAGAGAAAATAATTGGTGGATTAATTAATGGAAATACTTGTTTGCTGCAGCTCTAAACATGACTAACAAGGACCACCCACAAAATACTTCTACAAAGCATGCTTGCTGGCAACCCTTTTTGTTTTTTAATGTATTAGATTTTGGGGGAGGGGAGGCAGCTGTTAGTTGGGCCCAGCTGTCAATGATGGCTGGCAGAGATGAGAGGGGAGGAGATGATTTTGAACAAACCTGTGCATACACGGTCCCAAAGGAACAACACTTTAAAGAATTCCCTCAAAAGCCCAGATGATCACTGGATGTCTCTGTTTACCTCTGAGTCTGCAGCATATTTACAATCCCATGCACACATTAATTATGCTAAACACTGCGATGGAGATGAAGAAACCATGAAGGACTTGGCAGAATGAGGCTCAACATCAAATGTCTTTAGCAGTTTGTAATTTACCCATGGCCGATGGTTATGGAAAATTTTCTTAAGGCTTGGGTCCGAACTTCGCAAGCCCAATTACAAGAGACACCCACAAGCTGTTGTGGTCTCGTTGCATGATGTCCAAACACAATGCAACAAATTGCACAGGATAAATTAAGGTGGGATTAGGCCAGGGATTGAATAGATTATGATGTACATGCCAAAACTGCAATCCTTAGCTTGACAGAGGTTTGTGACAAAAGTGGTGGAAGAGAACTCCCAGTTTTGATGGAATGAAAAAAAATGAAAAAACAGTTTTGCTAGGCCGTATCTTCAACTCCTACAATTATTATGCATGAAGTGAAACGAGAAAAAAAATGTGAAGGAAATTGTGGTACAGCTCAGTCTAGACTACAATGCAGATTTGCTTTTCATGCTGTTCACGCCGTGTTATTTCTCAAACCATGCATTAGCACACACTGATTTCTCTGCCCTTCATTTCCTGTGTTGCAGCCTGGCTAGTACACTGTGGACTTTTGCAAGCCATTACAGAGACCACTGGAAGCCAGGCAGCATTATGCTTAATGACACGGCTTTAAGATGGACAATGAAGTCTGTTGTTAAATTGCTTTTAGTTGTACCAGCCTGGATTTTCTAAAAAAATAAATACTTTTAAAAAATACTCTCTGCCATTAGAGCATTAGCAATAGCAAAGTTATTTATTCATTAACACAACAGCCTTCTGCCAATCACAGCTTTCCTCATTTGCACTCTGACTATATATACAAACACAGAATTCCTCACATGACAAATGACATAAAAAGCCTCTTGAAGCCCTTTCATGTACAACTTCTAATATTTCCCCCTTAAAGAGTAATTCTCTTCCCAAAGCTAAAGCAGCTGCCTCCCATCTCAAGCCACTGAGTCCAGAGCTAACTAATGTGTCCAGCTTCAAAGCCACGAGCCTGAAATGTTATGATGAGCTGCATGACAATTAGACTAGCTATAAGCCAGAAGACACTGCACAGCATTCCTATTTGAACCAGTGGCGTGTTCATAGTTGGTTGGTCTGTTGGTTGGTTGTTCGCGAGATAGACAGGATACTGTTACCAGCCACTTCTTTTTCCCCTGCTTTGCTAGGTACTTCTCAGGGAGGTTGAAGTTATCCTGGAAGTACATGCTATCCAACCTGGATCCCAACCCCTCTGCGTTCAGGCTGGAGTAACTAGTGCAGTGAAAAAGAAAGCAATCCCTCACTGGCTTCCCACTTAACTTCAAACAGTGGTGGAATGCATGACTAAGCCAAAAGGTAGCCCTACCAGGAATTGAGGCCCATGAATGAGAATTTGGCCTGTGTGTCACACATGTAAACAACTGTTTTACATTAGAGACGACAGAGGTACCTGCATGGTATTCCTCAGTCTTTATCTTATCTTATCTTATCTAAATGGGTCATGTAGTAATTCAAGTATATGTATCCAACCTTTTCAGCTACTTACCTTTTTTTTTCTTTTTTTTTTTAAATTGTGTTTTATCTCTTTTCAAATCTTTAGAAGAACAGAGCCCAAAGAGAAGCTAGCCTACCTACCTTCCACCATACAAGGATGACTAGAAAACATAAGCAACAAGATCAAGCCAGGGAGGACAGCTCCCCCACAATTCAAACAGAATTTATCTTGCTTGTAAATTGGTTTTCGTCACAACTGGCTGTCAGTGTTGGCGTTTGTGGGTTTCAGCGTGTCAGATTTGACACAGCTCCCCTTCAGTAGCTGTGGGCTGTAGCTAACCACCCACACATCCCACTGGGGAGCAACCATCTTCTTCAGATCCCCTTCAACGACTTGACAACACTGATCACTCTCATCATCGTCCCCTCCAGCACTCAGGAGAGATTTATGCCTCAAGCATCTGATTGGTCAACGCATGGCTAATACCATCGTAAGAAAGCCTATAAGTGCGGTTGCCTTACTGTAACGGGAACCTGAGGCATGTAAGGATTCAGTAATGACAGCTTCTCCACATTGAAAAATATACTGCAAACCACCACCACCGAAAGTTTCCAGAGGTTAACAGCACATCATATTTGATGACATGCACAATTGGAGGACTAGAATCCAGTACTTTATGTGCCTGGAGACACTGTCATGTTTCTGCATCTCCGCACCAGTGACCAACACAGGAGCCATGCCCCGTCAATCACAAACTGACAGATCAAGGCTGCATGCCAAAAGGGACAAGGCAGCCTTTCTCTGGTCCAGGACACTTGCGAATTACAGGATTTGCACATCTTTGAATAGATGTCAAAGAACACACTCTATATGTGAAGCTATTTAACAAGAAAAGGCTAAATTAATTTGTTTACCAGGATGTGTAATGTGCAGGAGATAAAAAATGAAAGCATTTAAACATATAAACCCAATTACCTGCTCAAACAAAGAAATTCCTTCCTCACCCTCTAAAATGTGAGTAATGCAGACCTTTGCCCAGTTTATGGTATGATTATAATTTATGCCACCTCCTAAGCAGCGCTCGCAGACTGTGTCTCTTTTGTGTAGCCCCAGCTTTACGGCAGTGGAATCTCAGAGGAAGAAAAGAGCCAGTGTCATGCGGTCAGAAGGCATTTCAGTCAGATAAAAATTTGTGTCAGCACTTTCTGTCAGAGAGCGAGAGGCCAGCGTTCAGAGCTGTTAGCCTCTTTCTCAGAGGAGAGCCAGAGTTTAATGGGACTACTCTTCCACTCCATTTGCTGGCCCGCATCTTACAGGCCACAGCTGCATACATGTGAGCCAGTGACTGTCACTCTGCATACCTTTCTGCAGCCTGCGAGCTCCACACTCCCTTTAGCAGCTGACAGAAGTTGTTCAGACACACACTTAAAAACATAATGTATGTGGATGACACAATGTTAAACCCTGGTAATGAGTTTGCAGGGGTCAACAGCAGACGCCTTTGTGAACTCTTTACCTTATTTATTGGCCGAGCCAATCATTTTACCAACTCCTGGTGCTGCCAACATTATATTCATTCTGAATATGGCAGAAGCACAAGGCCTTACTCTAAAAAACTTCTTATGAAATAACTTTGGATCTGTTTCAGAGCCAAACAACAATTTCATGGCTGGCCAGTCACAAAGTAATTACATATGGCCCCAAAACGACACATCGATCAGTACTCGGGACACTTCTTAAAAATAAGACTTTTCTGACAGACATTTTCTTGAAGAGGTGACAGCACCTCTGCAGAACATATAGTAAAAATTTTACAATGAAAATATAATGAATCTATTTCCTACTTTCCTTCCTATTTTCCAGCACAAACAGCTGAATTATTTTGCGGGGCCAACTCTCCTCTCCCAAAACAGATGCATCACTATTAGTTATGTGACCAGTCTGCTTATAAAAAATTACCTTTTTTAATTTACAAACATGTTTCTTAATTACCTTGAATAACTTACAAGCTCGAGCTTCAATTAATTTAGAAAAATAGCAAAAAGAAAGCTAAAAAAGCTTTTTCCCTGCCATCATGCAAATATATTCCTTTGTTTGATAGTCTTTTTAACAAACTATGAAACATGAATCAGGTATATTTACAGCAAGTCCTAGAAATTTACAAAGAACCACTGGACATGTACATGACATGTCTAAACAAGTTCAGATGTTTTCCTAAAACATAAGATAAAATGCCAAGATGAAACTGTCTGATAAGGCAACCACACAGTAGGCCTGTGTTTTACCTTAATCCAAAAGGTTAAACAATCATTTTAAAAAGGGTATCAAAAGGGAGTTTGGCTACTGCATGAATATCAGGGGTTAAAAAAGAAAAGGACAATAAAGAGTCAAACATGCAAGTTTACCCATGTATCAATCAGAGCACCACACAAACAAATGTGCTCACAATACATGTGGCTGCTTCAAAAGGCTTTCATCTTTTTCAGACAGTTAAACAATGTATTCTTGTCATTTGTCTACTTGCAAACACAAGGTTAACAATGTATCTATTGTTCTGTGACTGTTACTTCACATGGTGACCTTGGTGTGAAGTAGCAATAAGTATAAAGGTCCCGGCAATATACACTAGTTTAAGTGCCATGAAACTTGAGAGATGACTCACCATGAGTAGACAGCAGGCAGGTCTCCAAATCCGGCTTTGAGGGCAGTGAGGCGCTACATTTCGCTAGGCTGAATCACAGTCCAGATCCCTCTCCAGAGGGGACACCCAACAGTTCTCTACAAAGGCAACCACAGTGAAATAAAGAAAAAACTTTAACTCAAGGCGAGCAACGGACTAAAAGAGCCTTGTATTGACACACAGCAGAAGCAGCAGACGCAATTTGACATCCAGCTCAGCGGCGTGGCAAGTTTACGCAGTGGACTGCCTGGCCTGTCACCGTTCACACACTATTCCAGCAGAGAACACAAACAGTGGCCGGTGATGCAAACAACATCGTTTGGGGGTATGTATAAGGGCTGGTTGTCAAAGGGCAGACTGGGACAGTAGACAGTTGTCACCCTCTTCAGGAGGTGGTTCTGACATAAAGTGCTGCTTTCAGAGTTGTGAGGCAGAGCCACTCAGTCCCTAAGCAGTCTGACCAAATGTGTCATTATGTCATTAGCTGGCGATTTAAGGACGGGGGAGAGGGGAGACTGAAATTTTTGTGTGGGAGATTTTAGCAGTCATGTGATAAACACTAAAGAAAGAGAGAGGGAGATGTGAAACTGGCATAACACGTAGACATTTGTGCACCTCATTTAGGGATCTTACCTGGTCACAAAACACATGTGGCCATCCATTGTTTGAATCCACTCTTTACATTGACATTTATCTTTCTTATTTACTTTCATCCTGTTATAAATTATTAGAAAGATTAATTAGTTAAAGCTGCATTGGCCCAAAGAAACATATGTGCAGGTTATTAGGCAATTACATAAACACAATTGGCAGTTTACCGGCTCTATAGAGAATTAATTCCACACTTTTGGAAAGAGAACATTGCTCGGTTATAAAATCAAGTTATGAGAGCAATGCTCCACTATTTGTTAAACACACAATTTCTTAAGTGTCAAAACCCAAACAAAAAAAAAGAGCATCCTCCAGAGTAAATCAGCAAATTAATTCAAGCATCACAGAGTCCTTGCACCAACCCTGAAATCTCCCTCTGTGATATCCTCCAGTGTCAGTGCAGCCGGTTTCCTCATATTTATGAAGGACAACTAAGGCGTGGATGTTAAAAGGAAGCAGAAAGTCATTCCTACATAAAAGAAGTCTTCAGACAAAACTGCAACACAATAATCAAGTTTCCTCAAGGGTGTCACATGGACTTTTTTTCCATTTTCTAATTATAGTTTGCACAATGCTCTCTGTAGGGAACACTTTATAAGACTTAATCTGGATTTCACACTGAGTTGCCAACACATTAATTAAGCTGAGCCAACCAATGGGAGTCTAAATAAGTTACAGCAATAATAACGAGAAACAGAAAGGAAGTCATATCTCCATAATTCTCAGTTTGATTTTATTATGTATTGATTATATATAGAAATATTTTTGTTCAGGGCTTTACAAAGCTTGGAGGGGGAATTTGAATAGATTCTGTGAAGCCATGGTTGGGGTAACATATGTCTTTTTTAATATAAAGTGAATAAAATGTGAAATCCCACACAGGGAATGAAATGACATCCCCTCAATCAAACTCTATTTTTGTCTTTTTTTGGATTTTCTTGATTTGCTCAAATAAAATGAGGTTTGGTGAAGCAATTTTTTTGAGTGTGTGTGTGTGTGTGTGTTTGAAGCTCTTTACGAGACAGCTTATGACTCGGGTTTAAAGAAATATGGCCACAGACTGACACAGAACATTTCCCAAGGTCAGCATCCCCTGGTCACTCGAAGCTAAAAGGGTCACAAAGGCCGGGCAGCTGTCCCCCCAGCAGATGATGATTAGAAGGGAAGCAAGACCAAAACACCTCCCTGTGCTGTTCGTCTGGTTTACAACGATATGGATTGCTCAAGCAAAAAAAAAAAAAAAGGCATTCAATTAGAAAGAGACTTCCACTGAAATCTCAGACCCATAGAAAGCCCATTCAAATCTCAAACATGGCAGAATGCGTAATTCTTCTCTGTCCACTGGGTTTCTGCATTATTAACTGAAAAGGCCAGAAATACGATCAAAACAAATTATGCGACCAACACTCTAAGTCTCCATTTCACTGATAAATATGGCATTTAAGCGTTCCCTCTCATCTCCTTCTCAGAGGCCATGAGTGTTTAAGCTTTCATGTAATACAAATCCCTCTGTGTAAAGTCTAGCAGTTCATGTTTGCCTTTTTACTGCATCAAATCACAAAGAAACCACTTCTGTGTCTCAGACTCTTTCTGCCAGTTTGAGAAATAGGTACTCAGATAAATTGGCTTGCTTAGACTAGCCTCCACGCTCAGTACAAGGTGTCGGAGATCTTCCCTGGCCATATTTTCTCTTTGTCAGAGATTTGGGATATAAAACACAGGGCAACAAGGACCAATTACTTACATAAAAAAAGATAAAAATTGTTATCACCAATTAATTAAGGCTACACAACCTGAGACAGGATATCAAAAGAACAGGCAAACATTTGTAGTTAATAAGGTGACACCTTTAATTGTGTGTTAGGTGTAAAAATCATCTTTATTCCATGTTTCAGTCTGTGGTCATACAAAAGGAAGTCAAATGCAATGAGTATAAGTAAACAAGCTTTAAAAATATCCTTCATTAAGATGCATTTCTGTGATGTACAAGTTAGACAAGAACTAACTAGAGGCTGGGAGAAGATTTTCAGAAAACAAACTTTGGCACAGTCATTAGAGGCACTCCTCAACCCCCAGCTGTTTTAGCTGCCTTCTGTACTCCTGACCTCCTCTCAGGGGTTTCATCAATGTTTTTTTTCTAAAACCAAGTTAAATACCTTTTTTGTTTAATATGTGTTTTTACTTAAAATGATCATCTATCATACTATACTTCACCATACTAACACTGTGGACTTTCACTGTTCTCAGATAATAAAGTTTATTGTTCAACTGTAAAATATTGTGCCACAGACATATCTTTATCAATCTTGAGTCTTGGATCTTCCTGGATCCAATGGATTTGATCCAACGATTCAGTGAAGGATCACATTTTTTGTTACATATTTACATAAAAAACAAAGACCGTGGATTTTTTTTATTCTCATCTATCAATATCAGCCTCCAAAAATGGCCACGTCAAATTTTCTACTGCGTGTACCAGCACAAAATTCTAAGGAACGAGGTTAGCATGTCAAGTTGCCGACCCAGGTGAACAAATCCCACAACATGGCCTCCGCCACTCCTCTGTTGCTGCTGTGCCCATGCTCATTAGCAAACACTGTGTACATACACACCCTACAACGTCCTTCAACAACTTATGTGACATCGTGCCCTGCGGCACTTTGTTTTTGTTTGCATCTGTAATCTTGAATGCTAGTGACAAGCAAAGGAGATGAAAATACAATAATGAACTGTATTCACAGCAGGTAAAGACCCACCACTGCATCACTTTCCTGTTGTCGGTTTTTCAGCTAATCACTACGGAGCTTCCAGGTGAATTTCACCCTCATTTGCATTGAGTTATTCCTCAGTGTTTTCAGAGGCGAATCTCTTGCGTACTCCGAGCAGAGTGGATTGTATCACATGTTCACGTTCAGAATATTGGAAATGAATTCAACAGGAGGTGACTTTGTCGAGCCCATTATTAGATTAGCTACACAAAATCTACCCCCAGCCTCTAAAATGGACGTGTAAGTGCTGCTCAGCTGCTTGTCCCATTACTCTTCAACGACCAAAATGCAATTCCTAATGTGACAGCCTGCCCTTTACCCCCAAACCAAGGCAACAGCCTTTTCCACCTGCTTCAGCATCCTTTAAGAACTGATGCCCTTTCATACTAGGCTGCATCTTGTATGAGAGTGTGGCTCATTAAAACATGTTGCCAATGTTGTCGTGTGGAGAGCCAGCAGAAAGAGGCTGAAAAGCACTCTATACCCTCCAAACACAAAGGTTTTGGACTGCCAATGCTGAGGAACTCAGGATATAAGCACAACCGCCTCCAACACCTACTTATACTTACTAAGAAACCAACCTCAAATGTGCTTAATGTTTTATCATAAGAAACCAAAATAGAACATCTGAGCAGCAGCCTGGCAGGTGTCTGTCCCTTAAGTGATGGGTACAGGTTTGAATGACAGTGTGTCAACCCATTATCCGAGCACACCGAATTAACAGTGATCAACTTTAAACAATAGTAACCTTCTTAACAAACACGTGCCATCTGCCGGTCTACACTCAACAAAGCACAAAAAGTCTGCAGTTGCTTTACAGCCGCTGCTATTTTCAGCACTAGCTTGATCTTATTCAGTGTTGATCAAGATGAATGAAACGTTTAGGCAAATACAGTCAGAAAGCTGTCCTGGCAGAGGGGCTGGAGCCTTCAAAGCGTGGAGAATGGGATACAGTTAGGGAGCTGGTTTAAAGCATTGCCTAAGATTAGCCCCTTTCTTAAAACCCATCTCATTACAGCAGTTACATCTAATAAAGAAGTGGGAGATGACGGGAATATTACTCCGTCCTTAATACCGCAACTAACGTGGTAGTGAAGCCTCAAGTGAAATGTGTTTCTGTCTTTCTCTTTATGTCTAGATCCCAGACAGACATAAAGCTGGAGGAGACATAAAAACTATACCCAAAGAACATACACAACAGGAGAGATGCTGAGTAAATGTGTCTGTTTATGTTATCTGTTTGTGCTCACATAGTGAAAAGATTGACAATTTCACACACCAACAGCTGTGTCGTTAGCTCTCATTACTTCTGTGACTCCATGTTAAAAATGTATGCTTCAGGGCCTCCTATGTCTTGTTGGCTAAATGAAGAGGGAACCTAATATAGTTTCCTTGGAACTGGCATTAACACTCTGTGGGGTTTTCAGCTGGATATCAATTAGAGGCTCATTAGGCATTTAGAGATGGCAGTCCCTCTGGCTTCCTGTCGCCTACTGTGTAACTGGCTGACCCTGAACTTGAAGGAAGGCTGGCTCTCTCTGTGTCTTTTCAGCCTTGAGAGAACAGCTATCAAGCAACTATATCAGGCATGCTTCCTTCAAATCTTGTATTTCGGAAAACACATTGTATTTAAAAAAAACACGTAGCCATGAGAGTAAAAGTTCATGGATCACCGTAAG